AACCTTCAGGGCGTTCAGGGCGTCCACGGTCGACCGACCCGCCCTGAACCCGAACTGAGCCTCTGAAAGGCCCGGCCCCACCTCCTCGAGATGCTGAGTAAGACGGGCAACGAGAATTCTCTCGAAGTTTGCCCATCTCACTCAGCATCACGATCGGCCTGTATGCCGAAGGGGAGTCCAGAGGACGACCCTCCTTGGGCAGCAGGCACAACAAACCCTCCTTCCAGATCTTCGGGAACTGCCCAACGCGAAGACATGCGTTGAAGAGGTCCCGAAGATCCCCTCCCAGGTATTCCAGGGCGATGCACAGAACTCGCCCCGGAATACCATCCGTTCCCGGAGCCGTCCTCTTGGCCCGCAGCTTATCGCGGGCCAATTCCATCTCCCCCTCGGTGATTGGGGGGAACTCGTCGACTCCCTCGTAGCGTGAGGGAGGACACATCACCGGGGGGACGTGCCCGGAGGACTCCGGGAACAGGCCTCCCACCAGTCGCAGGAGGACGTCGGGCGGCGTGGTCTCCGTGACCGGGGCGCCATGCGCGCGGAGCTTGTTCCGCGCGCTGATGTACGGGCGCCCCCACGGATCCCGATCCAGGCCCGCCAGCAATTCCTGACGGGCCGCCGCCTTGGCCTTGCTGATAGCGAGCTGCAGGGCCTTCTTTGCGGACCGATAGGTCGCCCGCAGCTCGCTCTCCAAGACAGGGTCCAGGCCATTCCTCCTGCGACACCTCACATAGGCCCTCCTGTGTCTATTGCAGGTCGCCCGAAGTTGTGCGATCTCGGGCGACCACCAATAGACACTCCGGCGACGCCAATCCGACCGCCTGACTCGCGGCATGGCCGCGTCGCACACCCTCGTAAGGGCGTCGCGAATGCGGCCAGCCAGTTCCTCCACATTGGAACTGGCGCCCTCCACACTCCCCTGGGAGCTCCACGCTTCGATGATGGCCGCCTCCCTGGCCAGCTCTGTGTCTAGCTGGCCTAGGGCCCACCTCGGGAACGCTCGAGGGGGCCCTCTTGGGCGGACCATCGGCACCGGACGGGTGGAGACCTCAAATCGGATATAATTGTGGTCCGACAGGGTCTCCACCTCCTCCTCTACTCTCCAGTTGTTCACGTTGCGTGCGACGGCGGGGGTGGCGAACGTTAGGTCCACCACGGACCCCCCCTGCTGCCGCACGCACGTGAACGCCGTCCCCACATTGAGTAGGGACAGACCGGAGAGTAGGGCCCACGTCTGAACGGCTCGCCCTCGAGCGTTCGACGTGGGATTCCCCCAGGCCAAGGACTTGGCGTTGAAGTCGCCGAGGACGATAGTGGGCCTCGGCGACTGCCTGCAGACCGCAGCGCGGACGGAGTCAAGGAATACCTCAAACTCCGCCAGGCTGCGGTTGGGGGAGAAGTACACCGCAACGATGGCGTACTCTCCCCACCCTGCCACGACGAGTCCTTGGCCCCTCTCGATTGCCGAGAGACGGGGGCCGGTGCTGCTCCCAGACACTATGGCCACGGAGCCCTCTAGGTCCCCCACCCAGTTCGGCTGGTGAGGGACAAAATAGGGCTCGCAGACCGCCGCCAAGTCTATCTCCCACTCGGCCATGGACTGCAGTAAAAGGTCCTGCGCTCCGGCCGAGTGGTTCAAATTCCCCTGGAGGAAGCGCTGGTGTCCGACCATTATGAGGACATATGCGCTTCCTCCCCAGCCTGGCGGCTACTCACTCCGGGGGCGGCCCTGGTCCGTTGGGCCGTCTTCCCCTTCGTAACGGGCGGGTGGCAATCGCCCCCGCCCATTATGTGCCCCGAGGGGCGCCCTGCGTCCGCGCACACTGCGCAGCGCACAGTTTTTGCGCTGCAGTCCGCGGACTGGTGCCCCTCGCCGCCGCAGCGGTAGCACAGGCGGCCCCTTTCAACCTTGGACGGGCACACTGGCCAGGTGTGGCCGATGCCCATGCACCTGAAGCAGCGCAATGGGCGCTGCTCCAGGACTTCCACCTTGGCCGAGCTCCAGCCCACGAGGAGCCGGCCAGCGTCGACCACGACCTTGGCCGCCGTGGCGGGGCATCGCACCACGACCGAGCCCACGCCGCCCCTTCCCGTGCGGATCTCCCCGACCTTCACGTTGGCCACGGGGCAGTTGGCCGCCCTTGCGACCGCCGCAGCCACCTTCTCCTTTGTGGCCGAATCGTCCAGGCCATCAACCCGGAGATCGGCCATCTTGGCAGGGCGCGAAACGGTCGCTAGCCCGTCCAGGACCTGGCGGAGTTTGTCCGCCAGCCTATCTGCCACTTCTGGCGCAACGGAGGAAGGGAGCTCAAGGAGCCGGGCCCCTGTTGCCGCCACCCTCACGGACAGCCCCCCCGCGATACCGAGTTCCCTCAGGTCCACACTCAGCTGGGCCCTCTCCAAGACCTTCGCGTAGGAGACGCCCTTCGCGATTGCCTCCTGAGGGACCGTAATTATAACCGCGGCGGTGCGCGGCTGTGCCGGGATTTTGGGCTTCTGTGAAGCCTGAGGGGCCTTCGGAGCCTTCGGCGCTGCGGGTGCAGAGGCTGAAGCAGGAGGAGCCGCTTTCTTCGCCTTACCTCTTCCCTTCTTCACCACGGTGGCCCAAGTGTCCTCCTGCGGGGCAGCGGGGCAACTCGGCCCGGCCACCGGCTGAAGAGGCGCTGGTGCAGCAACCGCAGGTGCAGGCGGAAGTGGGCGCGCAGAAGCCGCAGCCTTCCCCTTGCCCTTCCCTTTCCCCTTGCCTTTGCCCTGAACTGCAGAGCCCCCGTCGGCCACAGCCGCAGCCGGCGCTGGCACTTGCCTCGGGGGTGAAGTCCTCGGGGCAGGGCTCGGGGGAGCCATTGGTTCAGCCGCCTCGCGACGCCTGTCCGCCGCAAGCGGGGGGCGCACATTCTTCACCGGGAGAAGACGATCTTCTATCCCGGCAAATCTAGCGTCGATTAGCGTCCCCACCGAGGAGACGATTGATGCCCTAATCTCCTCTAGCCAGTCCCCCGCAAAGGTGTCCGAGGGACCGGCTTTGGTCGCCGAAAGCTCTTTTTCGCAGCTCGCAAAACTCGCGGCGGTGAGCTTTCAGCTCGGCCTTCAATCCCTCCGTCTCGCGACGAAGGCGCGCATTATCCTTTTTTAGGTTTTGTACCTCGTCCGCCACCGTACGACCCGCCAGCGCGTCTACCACCTTTTGCAGCGTGGCGGCAGACTCCTTCAACATTTTCACCATCGTGCCCTTCAGGTTGGCCGACTTCTGGGCCACTTCCAGTACTGCCGCCACGCTCTTACTGGCGAGCTCCCTCAGCTCATCGGCCGTCTGCTCGGCCGGGTCTCTCTGGGCTGGGGCTTCAGCCGCCGACGCCTCAGAGTCGCTAGGCACCGATTTGCCTGCCTTCCTATAGGTCCGCTGACTCAAACGTCTATTGAACTCGAGTTCGCGGTCCTCCTCCTCTAATTCTTTGAGTTCACGGCGCGCGCGAGCAACGCCCGAACCCCCTGCACTCTTCGCGCCCCTCTGGGACGTCTCCCTACGCGCTTTCACCACCCTAGCGCCAACGGTCATCTCCGTCTCGGTGTCCGATCCGGAGGATACCGTCAAAGGCGGTAAAGGGTGGGTCCGCTTACGCCCCACTGACGTATCGGTGTCCGCACCCTCGGACGTGTCCGAGTCCATGTCTCAGACACGCAAACACCCCAAAACAAGCACAAAAAGAAACAACTTTACAACAAAATCCAAAACACAAGAAAGAATCCAAAATCCAGAAAAACAAGCCAAAAATCAAGTCACGTGAGCATCAATCAGAACCGGTAAGCATAAACAATCGTAATAATATCAATAACCCGCCGCTTAAGGGGAAGCGGACGGGTTATGTGGGGCTCCTGCCGCGAGAAGCGCAGCAGCCTACCCACTAAAACCACACGGTGTTCCTCTTCGCTCGCCTATCTGCCGGGGCACGGGTATCCAAATTCGTCCGCGCCCCGACGGCGAGTGCCGCTTGGCCCGTCTCAGATGCCAGGGGTGAAGGGACACCCCCCGACGGCCAGCCCGAGTAGCGTGCGGGAATTTACTAGCGGACGCTACTCTGCCAGATTCTCTGGACGGCCGACTTCCCCAAGTCGACCGCCCTCTGGCTCTCTACGTGGAAAACTCTTATTCCCAGCCTTCTTCTTTTTCCCCGCATTGGACTTGGAACAGGCTGCACTCCCCACCGAGTGATCCGCAGGAAGATGAGCCGCTTCGCAAACCGGGCAGCGAGGAACTTTCTCGCACTGGCTTATTGTATGCCCCTCTTCTCCGCACCGGAAGCATTGTCCACTCCTATCTATCGTGCCCTTACAGCTGGCAGCTACGTGGCCAACCTCGTGACAACGATAACATCTAAGGGGTCGGTGGCTCAATAGCGCCACCCACGCCGACACAAAGCCCACCAACAGTCTTCTGGCCTTCAAAATTTGCTTCGCTGCCAAAACTGGACAGCGAACCCACGCCGAACCGAGCCCGTTGTTACCACGCCGAACTTCGCCCACTTTTACGCTGACGGAAGAAGCACCCGCCAGCACGACTGACCGCCAAAGCTATCTCCTCCGGCGTGACTGAGTCATCCAGACCACTCACGCGTAGCTCCGTGCATTTGGTGGGCCTAGAGATCTTGACCTCTTGCGGATCCACTATACCTTCCAGCCGCTGAGCCAGAGCATCGGCTTTCTCACCCTTATCGCCGGGCAGCTCCAACATTCTCGCACCCGTCGCTGCCAACTTAAACCTCAAGTCCGTGATGCCCAGGGTGGACAGGTCCACGTGACGTTTGAACTCCATCAGCACCGCCGCGTATGATAGACCACGCGCCTCCGCATCCGGTTGCAGCTTGATGGAAACTGCTGCCGAGCGAGGCGGACGGAGCCTGGGCATCTTCGCCTTCTCCTTACGCGCTGGCGCGTCTTCCTTCTCTGGGACTGTCTTCCTTTTATTTTTCGTTCCCTTCTTCTTCTTCTTTACCACCTCAGACCAACGCTCTTGAACGTTGGAAGAGCCTGATTGAGGTGGCTGAGCTTCGGTCGGACAAGGACAGGTCGCCTGTTTCCAGAGGCCTCTTCCGGTCCTCCCTTCTTGTGTACGCTGTCGCCGAGTCAAAAGACATGTTACTGTCTGAGTCGGCCAGAGATGACACAGACACGCTCCGCGATCCCAAACTCTTCGACGTCGACTCAAGTCTCTCCAACATAACTCTCGCACTTTTAAGCGCGATGAGGCCATAGATGTTACCCGGCCTTTTATCCGAAACGGACGTATCCCCAACACTAAAACCGCCAGTCACAGGCACACTACCTCCGCCCGTCGCGGGCTCTGCCACATCTTTTTTTTTATTTTCCATTAAAGGAACGCCAACTCCGCCAGCCACTGGCACACTACCTCCGCCCGTCGCAGGCACATCATCTTTTTTTTTATTTGAGTTCAAATCCATATAAAGTCCCACGAATATAGGGGAAGGGTGGGTCCATCCGCACAGTGCCCCCTGTCTGCGGATAAGCCTAGGTGTATCCCGCTAAGAGTGTCGGCCGGTACTCTAGCGGGGGAAGCAGTAGGGACCGATCTTCCCATCGGCCATGCATCCTCTCGCGCTGCTTCTCCGCTTAGGATTGGGGTAATTTTTTAAAGGTTTTCTTCCTCGCAGCCCGGGCGGTAAAGCCAAGGCCCTCGTTCCCAGTCCCGGCCGCTAGACGTGATCAACGACACCAGGAACCGGGATTACGAGTTGAGGGGGGGGTGCACCCTGGTGCATGTCCGGCTGCGCAATTAAGCACCCGCCGGACCCGTCCCACCTCGCGCTTTTCTGTCAGGGTGTGCTCCCTTAGGCCGTGGGGTTAACAAACCCCTAAAGGCACGCCCATGCCTGCTGGTTTTGGTCCGCGCCGGTCAAGACCGGTACCACCAATGTGGTGGCATTCCCCTATCCGCCACCCGGGGGACGCGCCCAGTAGCAGTCCAGCAACTGCCCTGAGAACTGCCCTGAGAACCTAACCTAACCTTTTTTTTTTTTTTTTTTTTTTTTTTTTTTTTTTTTTTTTTTTTTTTAAGTCAGGAAACCCTGTTGCCGGGTACCCGCCGCCTGGGGAAGAACGACGGGTTATGTGGGGCTCCTGCCGCGCAAAAGGTGGTAAACGCACGGCAGCCTACCCACTAAAACCTGACTGTGTCCGCCTCATTCGCCTCCTGGTCGGGGCCACGGGAACTAAAGAATCATCCGCGAACCCCGACGGCGATTGCCCTACGGCACGACTTGGTGTCGGAGGGTGGCACCCTCTACGACCACCGTTTGGAGTAGCGCGCGGGGGACACCGCGCGCGCCTACTCGGGCCAGGTGATTAGGCGGCAGACTTCCCCAAGTCTGCCGCCCTCTGGCTGGTGTTAAGGGGGGAGGCGGCGTTCGTGGGCCGCTCTCCGGCGCCCGGTCCTCCTGCGGCGGATGGCGAGCTCGGCGTTTGCCTCTCTCGCCCTCTCCGCCGCCTCCTTCTGCGACATCACGTCCTCGCAGAAGGACAGGACGGCACCCCAGGACCTTTTGCTTTCGACCATGGCAGAGACCACGGCCGGCAGCGTCAGGTCCGCCCCCACAACACCTATGAGCGCCTCACGCTCTGACGCCCAAGCTGGGCACTCCTCCAGCACGTGCTGGGCTGTCTCATCGACGCAGCCGTGGCAGTGGTGGCAGCGTGGATCCGGCTCTCTCCCGGCGACGCGGCACAGGTATCTGCCGAAGCACCCGTGCCCCGTAAGGACCTGCGTCAACCGGAAGGTGAGGACGCCGTGACGTCTCGCCAACCACTGCCTAAGAACAGGGCGAACCGCGTCAATGGTCCTGCGACCAGCGGAAGGATGCTCTAGCCTGCAGAGCCACTCCTCAAGTGCGGAATCTCGCTCCTCCTCGCTCTCGTGCGGTGCTGGACTGAGGTCCCTGGACGCAAGGCCTCGACGCCGACAATAGGACGACGCCAAGGAAAGTGCATCCAGGTCCCAGGGTGTAACTCCAGCCAGCACGCACGCCGCTTCACCCGATATGGTCCGATACCCCCTTATAACCCGCGTCGCCATCACCCTTTGCGACTGCCGCAGAACTGCCACGTTTTCGCGGCAGAGAGCGTCTGACCAAACCGGGGCGCCGTAGAGCGCCATGGACCGCAGAACTCCGAGGTATAGGCGTCTGCTGGAGCAACTCGGTCCGCTCACATTGGGCAGCAATCTGCCCAGTGCACCTGCCGTCTTTCTAAGTTTCGGCGCAAGGGCATTAAAATGCGCCTTAAAATTCCACCGGCTGTCGAGCAAGAGCCCCAAGTATCTCAGTGTACTCGACAAGCCGATGCGGACTCCGCCCACCGTTATGTGAGTGCCCGATGGAGGTGCCCTTCGAGGGCCGTGAAAACACAGCGCCTCAGATTTCTCCAGGGCAACCTCCAGCCCCAACCTGCGTATTCTACTAACGACGTGAGCCACTCCCGCCGTCGCCAACAACGCCGCCTCTCTGTGGCTATTCGCCTGCGCCAAGACCAGGGTGTCATCCGCGTAGCACACTACACTGACTCCTCTCAGCGTGCTACCCCTCAACACCCAGTCGTAGCCGATGTTCCACAGGAGAGGCCCAAGAACCGAGCCCTGTGGAACACCGCACGACACTTCCCGTCTCCCCCCAGCCGTTCCGCTCAGGAAAGACCACGGATCTCTCGGAGAGGTAAGCCCCGATGACGCGGCACAGGTAGGTTGGCACCCCGTGGTAGCGGAGCGCCTCCCTGATGCAAGCCCAGGGCAAGGAGTTGAAGGCGTTTGCGATGTCCAAGGACACCGCAAAAAACTACCTGACCCCGGGAAACTGCCTCCTGCACGCGGGACTTGACCCGCAGAATGGCATCTACGGTTGAGCGACCACCGCGGAAGCCAAACTGCGCGTCCGAGAGATCCGGCCCAACCTCCACCATGTGCTTGATTAAGCGCTCCACGACAATACGCTCGAACAGCTTGGCGAGCTCATCCAGCAACACGATGGGGCGGTAGGCGGAAGGAGACTCCGCCGGACGCCCTTCCTTTCTGAGGAGGACTAACCTGCCTGTCTTCCACCTCTGTGGAATTGTGGCTTGAGCCAGACAGGCAGTGAATAGTCCCCTCACACAAGGCCCTAAGGCGTCCATTGCCAAGGCTAGGGCGCGACCAGGTATTCCGTCGGGCCCGGGGGCAACGGATTTTCCCCGCAGGCGCACCACAGCCACTGCCATTTCTTCTTCGCTGACCTCCGGGACATCGTCCAGTCCTTCGTCGACATCGGTTATACCGCGTGGACCCATCTGTGGCGGCTGAAAGTCCTGGTGCGGGAAGAGTGAGTCTAGCACACTGCGCAAACATTTCCGGCTCGAGTGTTTCGGTCAGTGGAGGGGCCCAGGGGCGAAGTTTGTTTAGAACCAATCTATATGGTGTGCCCCAAGGATCTCTATTGAGCCCCTCCAACATCTCGGCTCTCCCTTCCGATATTGCCCTGGCGATCTGGGCCGTTAGACGCGCCTTCGCCTCTACGTAGCGGGCATATCTATTGTCCTCTTCTGCCTGGTCCCGACGCGCCCTCCTACGACAGTGTGAGTAGAGACGTCTGGCAGCGGACACAGTCCTCACGCAGCTGAGCGATCTCCGCCGTCCACCACCAGACATGTTGCCGTGGGGGGCAACGCCCGGACCGAGGCATTGCGGCATCACAAATGCGCTTCGCCATCTCCACGATGCGCTCTGCTGTCTCGGTTGGGGACACTGTGTGTTGGGGCAGCCAAGAGGCTACAATCGCCGCCTCTTTCAATACCTCCGGGTTGAGGCGCTTCAACTGCCATCTTGGTCCTTCCTCCCTCCGAGTTCGGTTACGGCGTGGCGGCCACCGCCGGATGAGTGGAGATCTCATATAGGATGTAACGGTGGTCCGAGAGCGTCTCCACATCATCCAGCACTCGCCAACCGTGGACACGGCGCGCTAAGGCAGGGCTCGCGAACGTAATGTCCACGATGGACCCGCCCTGCCGTCGCACGCACGTGTCGACCGTTCCCTGGTTCATCACTGTCAGGCCGGTAGCAACAATCCACTCTCCAAGGGCCCTCCCCCGTGCATCTTCCACTGTGGAACCCCACATGCCGGACTTCGCGTTCAGGTCCCCCGCTACGATGACTTCCGCAGGCCCACATCTGACGATTAGCTCCCCCAACCTGTCCAAGAACTCCTCAAACTCTGCCAGGGTTCTGTTGGGGGAGAAATATACCCCGACCACGACGACCTGCCCCAGCAGTGCCGCGACGCACCCCGAGCCCCTTACAACACGTGCAAAGGGTGGGGAAACCGCGGCGACCTGGGAAACGATGGCCACCGAGCCGTCGTCGTCGCCCGCCCAGTTGTCACGCGGGGAGACCCAATACGGCTCCGCTATTACAGCGACCTGCACCGACCACTGCACCAGGCTTTGAACAAACAGGTCCTGGGCTCTGGCGCAGTGGTTAAGGTTCGCCTGTAGAACCTTTAGGGCCATAGTTATGTTTCCATGGCCCTTCCCACCTCGGTCCTATTCTGGACCGGCTGTTCCTGAGCCGTTGGCCCAGACGTTGCCTTCCTCCCTTTTTTCTTCGGCTGAGACCGGGTGCAGGCGGCACTTCCCACCGTGTGGTCCGCTGGCCTCTTCGCTGCCTCGCAGACTGCGCAATGTGGTGCAGACTTGCATTGGCTGCGCAGGTGACCAGGCTGCCCGCACCTGTAGCACTCGGCACTACGGTCTATCGCCCCTGTGCACCGCGCCGCCACATGTCCTCCCTCATGGCAGCGGTAGCACCGCTGCGGCCGAGCTTGCAGCAGTTTCACCTGCGCAGAAACCAGTCCGACTAGGAGGCGACCACCGTCCACTACCTTCTTGGCAGCGACGACCGGGCAACGGACCCATGCCGTACCCAGCCCAAAACTCTCCCGGCGAATGTCTCCTGCTTTGACCATGTCGGCATTGCAGCCACCTGCCCGGCTTATGGCCTCCGCCAATTCCGTCGGGGTAACCGAGTCATCTAGCCCGGTTACCCGAAGCTCCGCACACTTTGTGGGCCTGGAGATCTTGACATCCTCCAGGTCTAAAGCCCCCTTTAGTGCTTGCGCCAGGACGTCCGCTTTTTCCCCGCTATTAGCCCCCGGTATTTCGAGCATCCGCGCTCCCGTCGAGGCCA